CACCACCCCCACCCAGTGGAGGGGGCCAAGCACCTCCAAGGCTCCACAAGTGGCAAAATGGCTCTTCTGAGGCTGCTGGGCCCTGAGAAGGGGGAGGGGTCCCACGGGAGTGAGACTGGGGAGTGGCACTGGCTCCCTCAGGACTCACTCCTGCCATCATCCTGCACATGCTCAACCAGGGCCCCCTGCCTGGCGGTGGGGTCCACCCACCCAGCAGCACCATAGGACCTCAAAGGGCAGCCCTGCCCCACCCCCCACAGGGACCACTCCTGGTGTGACTCAGCAGGGGGCCAAGGCTTTATCTGATGGCAAAGGAATCTGCCCCTGATGGCAGCCCCATGAGGTCACCAAGCAGACCTCAGGTTCAAAGGTTAGAGGCTCTGCAGGGGCCTGATTTCCCATCCCCCAGGGAGCCTGCCCCTCCCCACTCATCCTAAGGAAACCTGCATATTCCACTGATCTCAGACTCCTGAGCCCTCCCTGGCCCCTGGGGGAGACTGGCCTCCACCTACCCACCCACTCATCTACCCCTGATGGCAGCACCTAGAGATCATGGTCAGGATCTCCAGGTTCAGAGCCAGGGGCTCAGCTCTACCTCTGGGCTTGGCCCCACCCCATCCAGTCCCAGGCTGACTGGCTACAAACCCCTCTCCCAGCCTCAGTTTCCTCAACCATAGCTGGGACCTGTCAGGGCTGCTGTGACGATGGAAAGGGTCACAAAGGAAGTGCTGGGCACAGCTGACACTGGGATTCCTGTCCCCCACCACCACCCCTGTGGGGACCCTCTAGTGTTCCTTCATTCAGGATAAACTTGGGGAAACCAAGGCCCAACAAGGGCAGAGACCTGATGGTGGCCACGGAGGAGTTGGGAACACACCCAGGATTGGGGACCTTGCTGGTGGCCTCTGCCCTCTCACCCTGGGCCATTCCACCCTACCACACCCACCCTGCACAACCTATGGGCATAGAGCCCAGGATCCACCCACACAAACATCTGACTTCAGTGTGGCTCAAGGAGTCAAAGGGCACAGCATCTGTTTATCTTCCCACTGACAGCAGCCCCAAGAGGCCATGGGCAGGTCCCAAGGATCAAGGTTAGGGGCTGAGCTGCAACAACCCCAGCGTTATCCTTAGTGGACAAACACTGACTTCCTGGGGGACCCTGGCTAATGGTTGTCCAGCCTTCAGGCCTGTTTTCCCATCGTCAAATGGGGGATGTGGCAGGAGGGAAGGGGAGTTTCAGGGACAACAAGACACCCTCTACAAGGGCCCTTGGTTCCTAAAACCCCATCTGTTCCCAGGGGACACTCTTCTGGGGCTCCCAAATCCCTAGGATTGAACTCTCTTGACTCAGAGCTTGTGGTCATGGTGGGGAAGCCACTAGCAGCACTGGTCCCCTGTTCAGGACTCTTGTGGGTACCAGAGACTAGACCCCCAAGGCAAATCTACATGCCTACTTGGTAGGGGCTTCCCTGGGCAACCAGGGGATGGATGGATGACCCCTTGTGCCCCTGCAACCCAGGCCAGTGCTGGTGGAGGGTCAACAGATGACTTATAGTTAATGCCAAAAGGGGAATTTGTCACCAAAGAATCAGCCCTGTCCCTCAGTGGGGAATCCAAACACCCACCATGGTGCACACATTTTCCACAGTGACCAACACACACGTGCACACACACAGGTAGATCGGTGGCACTGCCAGCACAATCGTGGCCACTGCTCCTATACCACCTGACAGTGATGTCCTGGCCTCACTGGGTCTCCACGCCAAACCTACCAGGGGGGCTGCATCCCCACTTAGAGAGGAGAGCGGCAGCCCTCGGCTGAGGACGGCTAGAGAGGCAAGAACTTTGGGGATGCGGTCCCCACCTCATAGAAACAGTTAAGAACACACAGAGTACAAACCTTTTTTTTCTCCTGAAACAAAAAAGAAAGAATTAGTATTAAATGACATGCTGGATTTTGACATGGCCCCCACAAAAGAAGTAAAAACTCAAGACAGCATCTGGCTACTCTGGACCCCGGGCACGCAGCACACACACATGGCCGCGCCAAGCCACACCAGGCCATGCCTGAATGTACCGTGTCCTACCTTCCCCATCCCCCAGATTTATGGCATCCACCATGCCCTGACACTATACAAGGGACAAGAGGGACTCCAAGTCCCACCTCTTTCCCACCTTCAGCCCACCCCCTCAAGGGTGTCCTCAGCACTCCCC